ATTGTATTGTTCTGTGTTAAAACACTTTTTTGAACTCATGTATGAATATAGTTTTTCGACCAATGCATGAGTATGCCAGGATTGCGAATGGTATTGCCAATATTCGACAATTTGTATCTGAAAAAATGTTGGAAATAAATAATATTATATACAGAGTGTACAATACTATGATGTACGTAATCAATACAGCGTACAGAGATACTTGTCATGACCCGCACATCTTCATTCTTTCATACTGCTACTGCTAGATACCGAAATTATAAAAGCATTGTTTTTTATGGTTTGCAATAACCGCAAGTAAATTAATATCATTTCTATCATTCTTCCAATAGAAGCACCAATCAGCAATGAGTACTCACCTGAAAACGTTCCAACCAATCCTGGTGTTTACATTGGCCCTTTGGTTGGAATAGTTGCCGTAATTGCATTGGTCACTGCAGCGGGTGTAATATTCATGAGAAGAAGGGGTAAACAAAACAAAGGTAACACATTACAATAAAAAATAAATATATTCAAATATACATTCCTGTATTTATTAAACTAAGCATTAACACAGCGATGTATTAGAATTATATTATATCGAAATGTAGAGAATACGTTTGACAATAAACGCACTTTAATCACGAGTTCCACACACATGTTTTAGATATGTTATAGATAAAAAAACATTTAGCAAACTATCACTGAAAGTTGTCTTCGTCTGGATTTGAACATAAATTACATTTTGGTTGCGCAAATGTGGTTGAAAAAAATGACTGTGCATGTACTGTTGTGTTAACATCGTCACTTGACTATTTGTCAGACACGACATTAGAAGAACGACAGGACCATGAATTGCCGGAGAGAACATCAACAGGTAAATTAGAAATCAAGAGGTTATTACATAACTATCTGCATTAATATCTGCATTATTATCAAACGATCTATAAGTAGTGTTGGACATATACAGAGGATATTGCTGTTGATTTTGTTAAAGCAGTTGTCCCACGAGGTATGTGCAGTAAACGACACACGTGTTCTTGTTCAAAGTTCATAGAACACTTAATGGTTGACGAGGCTGTGATATTGCATTGTGATAATATCGATGTGAAACGGTCAATCTTTTTTTTTCAATATTACTGCCTATCGTAGGCAACATTTTTAATTTATGAACGAATTTATATTGCCCAATATATGTCAGAAACAAATCGCTACTTGATTTATGGTTTTGATTTACCTGTCTGATTAATTGAATGGTTGTACACAGTGTTGAAATATATGTTCCGAATATGTTTGCGCAGTTCAATTACCAACCTCCAAAAACTTCTATGTTT